AGAGCCGCTCTCACGTCGTAGGAAACGAGATAGAATACAGATTCAGCCAACTCTCGCTACATTTGCTCTTAAACCTAAAACGAAAAAGGATAGAGGACAAAATCGCCCGACGACAAGAGTCGGGCGACTTCCTATCCGCGCTGAAACTCGCCGAATGGAGAGGAGACACAGAAAAATCATCGGTTCACAGGCGCACAGTGGCGAGCAAAACGGTTTAAGCGCACGAAAGTTGCCGACGCAACAAAGTATGATTGAGAGTCATTGTCGGCGAGTTTGCACAACCATCAATCAAGACCTTCGCACACGAATTGACATAGCCGTGAACGTAAGACGTAACCGTAAGTTGACGAACCAATCGGGATATTTTTTTAGGCTTGCGTACCGTAGAAGATGGAAGTAATTGTGCAATTAGGACACAGGTCGAGTAATTAGGATTTCAAATAGTCCAATCCCTTGAGAAACGTTTTTTTAAACGTCTTCTCTTTAATTTTATCAGTCCTATCTTCTTCTAGAGCACATAAATCTTTAAAGCACTCAGAGAAATATCCTAATTGGGTTCTTCAAACGTAAATTTATATCTTATCCCGCTAAACACTAATAATAACACAACATCAATGTTATAATTTCTCACTCAACGATATAAATGCAATATAACGCGCGTGTTATGTAACAGTTATATTATTGGAAAAATGCTAATATTGATGTTACGTTACTGTCAGTTGTGGCAATTTGTATACGAAAAGCCCTTATGACCCGGAGTCAAAGTGACAATACAGGATGTGAAAATGAATTCGATCAGGATAACGCAGGAACGTGTTGATACATCCAAGAGTATCCTCGAGTTCCGCCATTGATACTCAAAAAATGAAAAATTAAAATCTTATACTTCAAGTACTAAGAAGCGACGAAATGGAAATCTGTTAAATAACAGTGCCACAAGCCAATATTTACACCTTGTGCTGTCATTTCGGTCATAACCGGTTACTAAACGCAAGCTCGTCAGTGGTGTTTCTCAATCGTGATTTATCGCGCTGCCAACTTCGACACGTTTCAAACCGTTTCGCTTCCCACTGCACTTCGTCCGCGCTTTATGCGTCGGAAATATCATGTTTGCGTGGTTATGCGAATATTTGGTTGCCGATCTCGACACTCGAGATTACACACATCGTCTTCCGCGACGGAGGATATCTGGAATATCTTTTTGGTGTGTGTTGTAACTTGCGTACTTGTTACGCGCAAATCGTCACCTTCACTCAACAGCACGTTCCTCCCGTTTCTTTACATTTTTATCTTGCGTATAAACAAGCGTATCGATGTGTACATGTGTGTATATCTGTCCGTGTATATATGCGTGTGTTATGTGCGCGCAACTAAATCGAGTTTAGTCGACGTTCAAGTCGTACGCGCGATACGCCAGTAAAACAGGAGTCCTTATCGTTTCGTACTAGTCTAATCGTCGTGACTTGCCTTACACAATTTCAGTGACGTTTCACTTATTAAGAATACACTTCCCCTCGTATCGTAACGAAGCTGTCATTGCATAAAGCACGCCAGCCGTGAAATATTCCGCCGTGAATTTATAAGTTAAAAGCTTTATAAATTAAAGGAGGAATAACAGAGTAACTTCGTCCGTTTGTTCTATCGTTCTATCGCAGTCTCTCAGTGTGCTTGGATAATAAAGCGTGTACAGAGAATAAATAAAACATACGTCCTACGTGAGACACGCGCCTGGCGCCACGCGAACTATCGCCATTTCAAGATACATCCGCTCGTTTGCGACCCACGAGCGAGAAGTTAAAACGACAATAGCGTACTGCCAATTCTTTCAAATATTTTTCCCCATGTCGGGCGTCTCCTTCCGTAACCGACTCAACGAGAATCTAATATAGATTAATCAAAATAAAAATAATAGAAAATATCGAAAAATGTGTCTTGATGAAGTGTCTTGATGAACGCGTGAAAGGTTGATTCTCACCAGCCGTTTGGACGGCGGTGGCCAACGAACATCCGTCAATCCTGCTCTTAAAGCACTTCCCAGAGATTTTGCATCGGGGGCGACCGCGAATCGTGGGATACCGCGAATATTCCAATGCAAAAGTGTTTCAGGAATCCGTCCCGACGGAGGATCAACGGATGTTCGTCCGCCGTCGAAACGCCAGCGAGAATCAACCTTGATGCGTCAGACAATATTACCCGCGTGTCGTCTATCGGGGAAAAAAAGCAATAAAAAAAAAGATTACCAATAATCTTTCCGGCCGATCTCTAGAGCACAAAAGTACTTGTAACAGAGAGACGGGAAAATGATAATTATTATCTACGCGAGGAAATTTCTTCTCGGAATAACGAAGATTGTTTTCTCTACTGTAGCTACTAATTCGAATGATAATATATAACCGCATAGCACCGCAACAGCACGCAACGCGAGTGGTTGCGCGCGACGCGTGATATTTGTCTATATTAAAAGAGTTGAGTACCACGGGCCATGTCGAAAGACCATACATGCACACCCCATTCTTGCGTCGTGAGTTTCGGTAGATCGTTACACCCTACATTTAACGACATACGACATTGCATTCTACAGCGTGAAAAAGGATAAACAAAAGAGAAAGGAAAAAAATCGGAAATAAAAATGATTACAGCAATTGTCTAGAGTTGCAGAGTTCCCCACGTCTTACGACCACAGCGCGATAAAGTATTCACGCGAATTAACTGCCGTTAGTAAAATGCTCGTAAATAAGAATAATGAGACATATGTTTGGCGTAACATGTAAAAGGTAAGGTGATAAACCCTTATAGAAACCCCTGATCCCTTCTGACCTCCATGTCATCTGAACGCAGTGCCAGGTACCCCGGTAGTCGTGGTGATGATCCTGAAGTCGAGCCCTCACCACTTGATAAGGATACGTCGACGCCGCCGCGATCAGTTTCGACAATGCTGCAAAGACGATGTATTCCGTTGTGCTCTGCAACGAAACGTCGCGTGTTAACAGTGGTGTGCAGTTTTTATTTTAGACTTAGCTCAGTTTTAGATTTCTGCCAAACGTTTTTTTGAGTCTCTTTCCTGAGCAATCTAATTCTATTTGTACAAGAATTAAAATTTATCATCGCTTCTTTTTTCCTCAGAGAAGATTTCCAATTGTTTCTCAAATAATTGTATTGATAATAATTTAATTAAATAAAAGATATTAAATAAATAAAATAAAAATCAATATTAAAAATTAATTAAATAAAAAGTATAAATATGTAATTTGACTTTATAATAATTATCTAAATAATTAATTAATATATAACTTAATAATTAATTACGATGATTATTTACAAAAGGTTAGATTAGGAACATTTCCATTTTGATACATGTTTCAGAAAGTGGAATTCTTAATTATCTGTATTTTGAATCATATGAAGTCGCATGTAATTCTTGAGGTATATTGCTTTAAAGCATTACAACTTTATATCAGAATATATATATATTCAGTTGTTATTGTTGCTATCACTCCAAGTATATCATTCGTGTGATATTTCTTAGTTCACATTTCTTATGTTTACCTGGACTAATCTCTGTGAGTACGTTGACACATAAATGACAGTACCGAAAAGGGGAACCACTTCCAATCCGTTCAATATAATAGTGTATTTGTGAACAAATATTTCAATGATAAGTCACTAAAATTCAAATCTTTGATAAGGGTCTTTTTACTCATTCTTCCGGAACCTACCCTTTAATGTATAATAAACTCATCAATTTAGCGAGACGGAAAATTCGAGCATTTTCAATACGTCATTCCTGAACCGAACTTCACTTCTACAGCATGGTTGGAGAGATTGGCGAACGTAAATAGAAAATATAAACAAAGGAGAACAGCACGTGACATATTTAGAATGATAAACAGCGAAGAATAACTCTCACTCTCAATATAATTCCATTCGTTATAGCATATATCAAAATCGAAGTAATTCGTGAAATATAGCCTGTTATAAATAATTACCTTAATTACTTTAAATAATTATTTTGGCAAATGATGTATTCTTTAATCTTAATGTAGTTAAATGTAGTTAATGTAGTTAATGCCACGATGGTATTTCAAGTTGAAAAAGGCAAGTACATATTATTCGTTAATTCTTAACCCTCTCTCTCACCCTTAATTCCTTATTAAACTGTTCAATAATTGATCCGTGAGCGATATTTCCGATAGATAATATCGCAAATATGCCACTAAAGGTTACTATATGTGAAAAAGTATCTCAGGCATTGTAACGAAAGTATCGAGGGATTGGATGTTACGTTGAGCCATTATATTAGAATAAATATATGTAACAAATATATAATATTTTTCAACTCACCAGCTTCGTATCAATGGCTACGTTCAAGTAATTGTAATATTTATTCTTCATCTCCTCATACGCCATAAATTGAATCGCGCCGTGTGAGACACCAAATAACCCAGGAACTAAACCCTGTAAAAATAACGCAGTCGTGCTACAATTTCAAGTTGACGATGAAACATCCAAAGCTCCCAGACTCACTACGAAGTTCAGTCACAAGTCCGATAAGATTCGATGAAGAGAACATTCACGCGTACCTTATACAAGCCTCTAATGCCCTCCGTCTTGTAAATCTTCTTTAAAGCGTCTACCATCCCGCGATACCTTTTGGACTCGGCCATATTGACGTCTTCGGCGTATTGCAAACATAGCCGCGTCTTTACCACCCATATTGGATTAGTCATAAGCAAGGTAAGCACTCCGGCATCAGCAGCAGCGAACATGTGCATGGACGGTCCGAGCGGTTTCTTCGAATTCCCACCTTGAATCGAGGTCTTTATCGTATTGTAGCTGCAATGCGATTTTCCAGTTTAGTCAATTATCCTTCATTATCCACGGAGGAACGTTCGAGTTTCATTCGCACGTTACGTTACTCTTTATCGAGGGAACAGATTCAATTTATAACTAAAGGATATACATTTTTGATATAATTAAATATAACAATATATATATGTGTATGTGTGTGTTATGTAATATAACAATAATAATAATATAGTAAAAGAATAATATAATATTACATATAAATTTGGTATAAATTCTAAATAAATTATATAATAATCATCATTAATTAATAATAATATTTAATATACAATAATAAAAATAAATCTAAATAAAAATAATAAATTTCTACTATTTACAAGTTGCAACGATGCCATTATTTATCGAAGCTCTTGAATGTTCGGACTCGCCGACGATCCTTTGCGAGGTCGGGCTGAATTATTATTACAGGCTCTAATACGTTTCATTTAATTAGAGTGCTTCATTGAATTAGAATTATTTGTCGCTTTCGTCAATTCGTCATGCCCAACGAAATGCGCTCAACATTCCGGATGTTGTGTAGACTTACAAGAAAAAGTAGAAACCCCACGAACTGCCTGATCCTAGAACGTTCGGTGTTACACCCCTATAAAGCCCACGCACTCCCTCGGTTTTAACAATCTGGCTGATAGCACTTCTGAGACCGTTGTACCGCGGTGCTGCAGTTGTTTGGCCATCATTCACTATAACCGAAAAATAAAAACGGTTAGTTTCGCTCTTTACATACGAGTCTTGACGTTAATCACACTGTAGATTTCAACTGGTCGGAAAAATATGTCCTCGTCATTGATAAGCATCACGGCAACAACTTCCAAGAACTCAATATACATTTCAAAACACAGGGTGAGGCAATAACTATTACCACCTTGAGTATCTTCGAAAAATAAAAACATTTTATTAACGATTAGACAAGAGGACGACAAAAGTTAGCATTTAAAAGCGATAAAAATGATGACTAAGTGATGACTTTCGCATTCTGAAGATATTCAAAATAATAATAATTATTGCTCCACCTTATATATATATATATATATATATATATATATATANTTTTAATTGCGTTAATATATTAATATAATTAATTACAATTACAAATAAAATACTTATGTGACATACATACAATTCGAAATGCTCACCCAATAAATACCAGCTAAAAGTAACATAACATCAATGTTATAATTTCCCACTCAATAACGTAACTGTTATATAATACGTATTATATTGCATTTACATTGTTGGGTGGGAAATTATAATATTGATGTTAGTTGGTATTTACTGAACATTTATGAATTTCCAGAGGCTCTCGCAATGCTAATCAATAATAATGTTATAAATTTGTAATTCATATTATTTATATTCATATGTATTATATCATATTTTTACATCAAATTTAATTATTAATTGACGATAACGCGTGTGGGGTCCCAAATAGTCATCGTAACAGCATAACATTGTTTGGAGCCACCGTAGGGAATGTTAAGGATGTATTACTCATAACTTCAAAAATTATGAAAAAATTACAAATTAATCTTCATTACATTTAAAAGTGACGCCCAAGTTTGACGGTGATTTACATCCTGAATCAAAAATTGTTCTACTTTAAGGGAGGTTATCAGTTGAAATGAATTTGATAAGAATTTGATGAAACTTGCATTACGTATACATTGAAATATTATCTAATTCATTGCTCGTGCAACTAGAAAAAGATTGTCTACTCGAGAGCTGAGATATCTACAACTAAAGTGACATATGTTCCTCGAGATTAAAAAACTATTTTAAATTCTATTTTTAATATCTTCTAAGAATGAGATTTGAATGAAAAACTACTATGACATTAAGGCTCGACTCCCTCCGCTAGCTATATTGATTTTGTGACGTCATAGACGAGAAATGACATGCAGTAAGTTTCTTGCAAACTCATGTAGCTTTACTTTTTCCTGAAAAACACAACGATTTCATAATCTTGAAACCTGTAAAATATGAGGAAAACTGAGATATTCGTCCGATATATCACGTAGAATCGCAAAATAATTCTTGAAATAGTGGGTCATTTTTCAGTTATATAAACTATCACGACCGTTCGAGTATGGCTGAAAAAGGACCCGTTATTTCAAGAATAATTTTGCGTTAAAGAAGTTCCTTCGAGAAAATTAAAAAATGAAGCTACATGTTGCAAGAAACTTTCTGTACGTCATTTCTCGCTTCTGACGTCATAAAACAATACAGCCGCCCGAGGGATAGCCGAGCCTTAAAGACTAACATGCAGACATCACACACAAACACAGAATTTACAATTTCATTTCGAAAATACAGCGGTATAAAGTACATAACTTAATTATTCTCGAAATACAAGTATACATACACATATTTAAACACATAGACCTCTTTCTATTATCTGTACATCTCTACCAGATTAACCGATGCATAAATACAGCACTAACAAGAAAAATAAGAAATAATATTTTCGTGCTTGTAATATTGTGTAAACAAGCTACCTCAACTTCGTCTCAAATGAAAATTTATTATTTAGATAGAGCGAAATAAATGTATAGCAACGTAATTTTGCTTTGGTAAATACGAAATTTATGAGCGGTTCTCTTAATGCGCCACTGAAAATGCGATACTAAAGAGCAACACACCCTTTAACTGTTCGCACGTATTTATTTCGTTCGTGCATCTTTCCTTCGAATTTTATACGATCATCGTAACGCGATATATTTAATTTCGCGTTAATCATCGCGCGCACCGCTCGCTCGCTTCTGTTTACGAAAGCCAGCCGGCGATAGCGCGCCGCCTCGTGATAGGCGGCATTTAAATGCAACGCTTAGATACACGCGATCTCGACGCACATACACGGCGTACCCGCATATTCCAAGTATCGAATATCGAGTATCCGCACCTCGTTATCAGCAATAGCGCGTTAACGTCGCTGAGTGTTGGCCCGTCTATCGCGTATCTCCGTCACGCGAAAACAGCGAAACGAAGAGCTCTTTTCGCACGCGCATTTGCGCGGTGCCGTCTTATTTATCGAGACAATTTTCATTTTGCTATCTCTCGCGATAACGCGGGGAATAGTTTCCGCGCGATAACGAGGGGGATCGACGCTGACGAAGCCGCCACCGCCTCCTCCGTCGGCTACGATGTCTATTAGCACCTCTGAGAATAAACGAACGCCCGTGATGATCGCAGAGAATCGCTTCCTCGCACCATTTGTTGAATCGCCGAGGATTCAAGCGCTCTCGAACGATCCGGCCGACTAACGCACGACTCAATAACGGCGGTCACGTGTCATTGACGCAACTCACGGAATTCTCGTGACTTGACGCTTGGTGAATGGCCAACAAATATTCCGTAGAGAAGCGTGCGTTCCCGCGCGTACCGAATCGTAGCGCGTGGTATCGCGTAGCTCCTGTGAAAAATGCTCTATTTATCCGCTCGTCTGTGACGTCATAATTGAAGGCGATGTGGGTGCTCTCGCGATAGGCTTAAAGGGATGAACGATGGCGAAGCCCCCCTCTCCCTGACGTCACGCGGAAGTCGCACTCGTACCTCTCTCTCTCTCTCTCTCTATGTGTGTGTGTGTGTGTTGCGTGTTCGCGCGCGCGCGCCGTTTCGATAACTCGTTTCATCATCTATCCGCAGAAGCGCCTGAGTGATATGAGCGTAGGTACGCGCGTGTACACGAGGATAGATAAGGCATCTGAATTTCCATTATAGTTGCGCGTTATCGGGCTTGGTCGTGCGCGAAAACGGAAGTATTTCGTAACCTGTCGGAAAAACATACTCCGATCGATGCTTGCCGAAACGTTTCCGCTCGCGCTCCTGCGGTTCTGAATGTGAGACAGCTGCCGGATCGGTCGATGGACAGGAGTGATCTGAGTAATCCGAATTGTACAGTCGGTGTCATGTCATACGCTGTATCGTTGTTTAGACGAAGTTACGCGATTTTCAGCCTTATGCGCGTAATGCTTAAGGTTGAAAATCGCGCACGCGCGCGAATTCACATTGCGTGGAGATCTCTGGTTTTAATGCGGGTACACTTAACACTTCGTTCAATGAATTACTTGACACGGAGAAAATATTACAGTAAAAATGACTACAAAAGTTGTAATGCTGGAGTATACCGGAATTATTATCAAAATTACTATGTGTGTTACAATCTTTAATGATACGTACGCATGATATACATTACTAATGATTACAACACAGTACTAATGATTACAACATAGTAATTTCGACAATAATTCCAGTATATTCCAGCGTTACAAACTTTTGTAGTAATTTTTACTACGATATTTTCTCCGTATTGTTTTACTCATCTTGCTATTTCTCGTATCATTCGCGCTCTGTCTGGTGCTCCATTCTTTTTCTTGTTTCATTGTAAATGAGAATACTGTGTGTATCCCCAGGGTATTAATAAATACTCTCTTCTCTCTCTCTCTCGAACGCGAGCGAAATGAATAAACAATTCCGGCGTTTCCGATTGTACTCGCGCGACAGGGCACGCAATTGTTCAGAACGGCGTTACCGATCGATTTGTTTGACTTGTCGCATGAAATTGACGGTAAACTATTCTAGCGGATATGAACCCCCCTCCCCCCTCTCTCTTTTTCTCTCTTGAAGTTGTCGTGAGAATACATTTCTCGTTCATTTTATCTCTCTGCATTTTCTCAATTTGCGAATCTGTGTTGAATTTTTTCTGTTTTTTTTTTTATTTTTTCTCCAAGACTGCGTTCGAAAACCTTACTCGATAGAATAACATTTAATTGGCCGATCAGGGACCGAAAAAGGCCAACATTTCTTTATCACGATTGGTTAGTTAAATACTACTGCTCTATCCGTCGAATATCATTTTCGAAGGCAACCAACACACGCTTTTGCACATTTTTTATTTCTTATGAATTCATACGGTTTATCGCCAATTTTTTGCCTCTGTAGACTGATTGCCGCCAGGAAATCAGTTATCTTACTAGGTCAGGCTTATAATAACAGTGGTCCAATTTTTGGACTGCTATGCAAACACGGATCTAATTTTTTTCTCTGAGTGATAATTTTTCCTTGAGGAATAGAAATGCGGTATATAGCGTCTTGCACAAAACGCGGAAGAGGAGATAAGCAAAAGAAAACAGGTAGGTCTCACAAGCTTAACATGTTACTGTCAGGATTAACTTGCCAATTACATGATCAGTCACAAAAAGATTGGAATACTTTTTTTTCGAAGAGCCTTTTCACCAAGCACATCTCGTACCCAATAAGAAAATCTCCTGAGAATGACAAAAGAAACAAATTCTCCTATCGGACACGGGATGTGTCCCGAAATTTGTAAAAAAAAAATTGTTGCAACCTTTCGTGACTGACCATACAATTGACCTGCACAGTCGGCGTCATGTATGCTACACCATCCCTTAGACTAAAATTTTTTACTATCACATACATTTTAGCCTTTCACAAATGCACATGAAGACGAGACTGTTAGAGCCATTACAAACTTATTATTACAACTAGAGTTACTTCTGCGATTTTCAACCTTAAGCATTACGTGCATAAGGCTGAGAATCGCGTAGCTTCGTCTAAGCAACAATACAGCGGCAGCTGTCTCACATTCAGAAGCGCAGGAGCGCGAGCGAAAACGTTTCGGCAAGCATCGATCGGAGCGCATGTTTTTCCGACAGGTTACGAAACACTTCCGTTTTTGCGCACGATAGAGTCCGATAACGCGCAATTATAATGGAAATTCAGACGCCTTATCTATCTTCGCGTATACGCGCGTACTTCCGCTCATATCAGTCAGGCGCTTCGGATAGATGATGAAACGAGTTGTCGAAACGGCGCCTTCGCGGTAATCATCTCGAAACGGAACTGTTTCGTAACCGTCTTCGACGCGACGACGCGCCGAGCTGAAATTTCGCTTTCTCCCAATGCTGCCCATCCGACACGACTCTTCCGCTCGCGAAGTGTCTCCTTTCTCCGTTCCCATCTCCGACGCTCGCCTGCATCCCTCCGGGTGCCGCTCGTTCAATCTTATCGCGCTAATAGCTCTGTTCTGTAGCTTTTAACGATGCTCGCCCCAGGCAGAAGAATTTCTGAGGCCTGTTTTTTTATCTTCTAGTTAAATTGGGGTTTAAACTTGACTTTTAGATAACAAAATTGGTCGGACCCGACCGGATCTATATTCTAGTATTTCCACGAACACGCTTTTAAAACGTTACATTCAGATATTTTGCATATTTTACGATATATTTTACTTATTTTTAAATCTTTTCTAACTTACTGTAAGAATAAATAGTGCTTAGTCGGAAAATTAGAAAATCTACAAAACGCTCATACAAGTCGGGCTCGATTAACATAAATCTTGTTATCTGAAAATTCAACTGATAAAAATGCAAAAACTATGCTTTTCTACTTGTGATTAGTCACTAAACCGATGGTTTCGTACTGGCGACTTTTAAAATCTAACGATTAACCAGAATAGAAAAACAATTTTTACGCTGCCACCGGACTAAATCGCAGATCAACCGGAAAATGAAGAACCAGACCTGAAAGATGCCTCAAAGACGTCCTGAACACGTTCTATTTCTTTTTAGATATTTCACAACCAGAGTTACTTCTGCGATTTTCAACCTTAAGCATTACGTGCATAAGGCTGAAAATCGCGTAACTAAAATCGTCTAAGCAACGATACAGCACATATTTTTCAGGCGTCTTTAAGAGGAATTTGAGAAATTTGTTCTATCCAGGGTTATCGTCACCTTATCGCACGGCCATATATTATACCTGCGCAACAACGTCACGATAACGTCACGGTCGTTAAAAATTATAGGATAGACCTACGAGTTATGACGATGTGCGTCACTTTGTGAGGCACGAGAGGCTTCGAGAGGCTCGAGAATGAATGGAGACGTTCGATTCGCCTTTCGCGACGAGAGCGAGAAAAACAGATAGAGAAAGATAAAAAAAGAAAAAAGAGAGAGAGAGAACCAGAGCCGACGCGAAACAAAGGGCAAGGACAAAGGGAACTTGCGATCTTTGTTCTCGCCGGAAGGTACCAGCGGATGCTCGGGGAAGGAGAGGGGAGGGGGTCTCGGCGGAAAACGCGCTAACTCACAGGTTGATGAAATCGCTGGGATATTTTCGTGAGCCGCCGCTGCGCGCGGACGACACCGATGAGGAGGACGCGAGCGGCGCTGCCGCGGCGCTGACCCGATCCAGCGGCAGGAAGCCACCGTCTACGTGAAAGACTCTTCCCGTGGAGGCTCGGCGACAGGCAGCACCACGTGCTGGCGATCGCGAGACGCAACGTGACAATCGTCGCCATTTTCGCCGATGCGCTCGCACAATCAATCTCTGTCTCCCTCTCTCCCTCGCTCGTTCGCTCACGTGACTCACCCGCGAATCGGATCTTGATGAGGTCCAGTGGATGCAGCATCAGGGTCGAGACGACGCCGCCGGAGATGCCCGCGACGAAATACTCGTACTTGAAGTTGCTCAAGACTGGCAACTGGCGCGGCGCGCCCGGCGGGGAACTACTACCTTTGATCGCCGACATATTCCTGGAGATGTCGAGCCGCTCACCGTTCGTTACCGATCCGTCGACAGGCACCACGACCGCATCCTTCTTAGGGCTAACAACGCTCGCCTCCACTCTGCGGCATATCTCTTGGTCCGCGGGAGGCACTGTCGTCGAGCTGTTTTAGCGTCACACGCAGCCGAAGTCCTCGCCGTTCCCCGTGGCTCGTCGTGCTCGTCGCCAACGTCGTCCCCCCGTCGGCACTACTCTTCTCGACGTTTCTGACTCGCCGTGCTCTCCTGACTCCCTTCGTCCCGCTCGGCGGGCGCTTACGACGATTACGCAACTGCGGGAAACCACGTCGCGACGCTACACCAGACCCCACCGCACTGCCGCGCGCTGCGCTCACACCGGGATACCTGGAGCTACGGAATACCAGATGGAGGGACCGGCCATCGTTCAGCGCACGCGCATGCGCACGGAGCGTCTTTGGGGTCTGCTCTTTCTCTCTCTCTCTCTCTCTCTCTCTCTGCGTCTACACTTTCTCAACTTGTCTTGTGATCTTCCCAGGTGAAACAGAAAATGACGATGACGCGAGTGACGTCAAAATGACGAAAAATGAAAAGTGATCTTCATTCATTTCATCTTCTTATTATTTCAACGTCATTCTGACGTCACTATCATTTCTTGTTCTGCCGGGGTCTCGAGTTTTGCTTCTCTCCCACCGTGGCTGAATTCGTTTTGGACGTGTTGAAAACGTCATTCGATCTTCCTTCAACGTGTAACGAGCAATGAAGGTGGCTTTCAGCGGGAAAGCGTTCGAAACAAATTTGGCTCAAATGGCAAATGTATAGTTGTCTCGTTTCAAGTGCAGATGGTGCAACAGTGTGGATGGTGCAAGAGTGCATCTGGGAGGAACAGACTTAACACGGGTTGTTCTTAGGTACGTTCTTTCAACTGTCTTGTTATCTTTCGAGTTTCTTTTCTCTCTCACAAAGTGATAAATGTGTAGCTGCTAAACTTCAAATGCAAACAGTGCAAATTAGGCTGTGTTCATGTATTCACTACTGAAAATCTATAATATACATAACATGAACTATATGTTTTCAGTACTGGCACAGTGAATATACGAACATAGCCTTAATCAACTCTAAAAGACAGATTTAATCTAGATAGCATAGGTTAGTTTTATATGTGTTCTTTAAACGTATGTAATACGATTATGAAACGTTATATATATAAAATGAAACTAACTGTATTACTTGACAAGCTGCGTTCGGTTTTATAAATCGGAGACATCGATTTGCTCCAGGAAAGTCGTTTCATTGGCTAAATATTATCTTAAGATAATTTTAAAAGCAAACCGATATCTCCGATTTGCAAAACCGAATGTAGTTTTAATGTGGTTACCAAGAGTTGATCAGACATTAGGTCTGTTTGTTTTCGCTGTACCGCTGAACTAGTGCAATAAGTTGAAGTGAGAAAACATATACTTGTCTCGCTTCAACTTATTTCACTAGTCCAGCGGTGCAGCGAAAGCGGACAGACCTATTTTTTCGTCAAAGAGTGAAAATTAAAGATACAATTCAAATGCTTTCAAGTTGGAATTTTTTTATTTTTCATGAGTTTACGCTACAGGAAAAGATTCATGATCGCCTCCCAGATTTGACCGTTGCGGATATTATACTATTTGTGCACTATTTGTGCTTAAAGTACGATAAATATGTTTATTTAATACAGTGGAGGACAATAGAAAATAAAGAGGTCTCAAGATGGTTCAGACAATGCGACTACAAAGAGTGGACCTTGATTTTTTTTGCTTTTTTTTATAGTTGAACTTTTTTCCGCATTGATTCAAATACTTAATGTTAAAGCATTATTTTTAACAGGAATAACATTGTTTTTTTTCCGAGATGCAACGATATTCGGTGTAACAGTCAATTACATTCCCTATGTTAAATTAACGTCTCATATTTATGGTTCCGCTAATTTATGTGTAAAAATCCTAATGGATATTCTTCCTCGCGAAAACCTATATTGTTGTAGCCATTTTTAAAGAGGCCTTTATTGACCTGCCTCAGCCGAGTGTCCAGATACCGCCGCACGTTGAGGAAAGTGGCGGCTCGTAGCGGACATTTTGGAACTAGTATACGTTATCCGCAAAAATAATAAATCTAATTACCTTATATATATATAAGATAATTAGATCTATTATTTTTATAGACCCGCTATATAATCTTTAAAAATAATAAGTCCAATATTTTTCGCTTGTTATTCTTGGGAGAGGGGGGGATTTATTTTTACTCTATCCTAAAAAACAGGTCAAATTCACACACTAGGCTGTAACAACAAAAATAATGTTATCAAGATGATTCAAGGAGTATTTTACAGTTCGAAATTTTAAGTCTTAAATGATAATGTTACAATTTTGCTATCGTCTTTTTATCAAGATACATTGGTTTTAAATAAAGTGTTAACCGCGCAATTTTCAATTTTATTTTTTAGTAATAAAATAATTAATAGCAGTACACAAAGTCATGTTTAAAACTTTTTTATATATATGAAAATAGTAGCCATTTTAGTAGTACAACTTCTATAACATATATTATTAATTACATTACGTAACACAAAAATCATTTTTCAATATTATTTAAATTGTTGAAAAAAAAGAAAATTTTATATAAAAATGAAATAGATTAGCCCAATAATGACATGGTTTTTAGCTAAACTCTAAATTATTACCCGAATTTTTTTCTTCGTGTTAATTCTTTTCAATTTTTCTATACTACGGCACATAAAAAATTATAGATATTACTCTGCGGTTCTGTCTTCTGTCTTCTGTTTGGCTTCTTCGAGCAATGTTCTATATGATGTAGTCACTGTTTCTTCTAATGTTACATCTAAGTCTACTAAAACAGAGATGAAGAGTTCTCTCATTGTTTCTAGAGTCTCATCAGACGTCATTTCTTCATCTGATAATAATGCCTGCACAAACGTACTGTTATAGGAATTATGTAATTCTATCGTTTTCCGTGTTATATAATTATATATATNTATTTGACTAAAATTTATTTCATAGAAACAACATACGAAATATTATTTGTTTGAATAAAAATTTTATTGTCTCATTCAAGAAAACTCCATTATTTAACAGAAAGAACGCTATTACTTGAAATAATATCTTTTAACCAAATAAAATATTATTTGGTTACGATAAATATGTAAAGTGAAACAAATAATTTCTATATAAAAAAATCATCTTTCGTTTCAAACAAATTTTTTTATTTAAGATAAAGATACATATTTGTTGAAAAATCTAATAATCATATTTATTAATCGAAACATTAGTTTCTTTGGAGCATGCCAATGATGAAATTTGTTTGGATGCAAAAAAATGTATTAAATTTGCAAAAATCTTTTTCTCAGTATATATATATACACATAGAAGTATTCAAACCTGCAGTGTTAGAAAACCACCCAAACCATCGACGTCTTCGACGATTATATTAACGTTACTAACAAAGAAACCGCCATACGAGTATCTTTTAGCAGTAATATTTGCTATTTGTCCGTTGGCTTGCGAAAAAATATCGTGAAGTTCTTTTGCGTGAGGTATGGCTAGATGTATTATAAAAAACTCACGATCAATCATTGATTTTCCTTTTCTTTCTTCTTCGTATAATATTAACTGTCCAGTATTATCCTACATAATGAACGAGAATTTCTGTTATATCCCACACTATAATATAAACTAGTATAAAGTAATTTTAATTTCTTTAACGATGCTATGATTCGTGCTCTCTTTCCAAGAAAGAAATTATTATAAAGTTATACATGATGATTAATCTTAACAAGCAAATATTTCGAAAAATATGGAAGATATAGGAAAATATTTCAGATAAATTTGAAGAATTTAGAGGAAGATAAAAGACGGCGACTTTAACTTCATTGTATAGTCAATAATTCAAGATCACCTCAAGGTCATTTGACTGTATTTTATTGACTGGTCAACGAAGTTAAGGTCACCGTCTTATATCCCCTTTCAAATTTATCTGAAACAAATGTTTCAGATCGTAACAGTATTTTTTCTATGTATATGTATGACCAAATACAGACAAAATTCATATACAGGGTGATTTATTTTGATCTTAATAGACAAATATTTTGAAAAATGGGAAGATATGGACAAATATTTTGAAAAATTGGAAGATATGGAAAAATGTTTCAAATATTTATTTGAAGCAGTTTTCCATTTTGTTGTTGTACCAGTACAATTAAAACAAGCATATATTTATATGTTGCCCATGAAGTTAGCATTTAATTGAATGAAACTATTTTTTTCTTTTTCCTATTCGACAGCATTTTATTCTCACGTTGACGATTAGATATTTGACAATATAGAGATCTCACTCTATAATTATGTACAATTTATAGTCATATATAATCCTTTTTACACGAATTTTCTCCTAAGTTTGAAAAGTCGCAGAATGCAAAAATAAAGTGTCGTAAAGGCGAAAACTATATCGGAAAATGATAATGATACTCACTTCGTACATCCGCATCACTAAATTTCCGACTTTCGTTTTGAAATAGGTATCTTGATAATTCCTTTTTAGGCAATATGTCTCAAAATTAGGATATGTTTTTCGGAATCTTGACATTATTTCGTTAAAGTCAACCTTTAACTTCATTTCATAAGCACGCATTTTGTACTTGAAATCGTTCTTAGAAGTTGACGACAGTTACTTTACTGGATACTTTGCAGTTGCTCTACAAATAATGAAATAAATTTTCGTAAAAGCCTCTCGATCTATTGCACTCTTTGCCTTATCGTCTTGTAACGTAATTCAAACAAGACAATCTTACCAAATCCGAAGACTAACTTCCAACGTTATATTTCGCAATTTTAAACTGTAGGTTAACTGAAACACCTTGGGAGAACTAATCGTGAAATATAACGTGCGGCAAACAAAGATCCTTAAATATCATTTCTACATATAAGGAAAGGAACACATATTCATATAACACAACAATACCTAAGAAGTTTAATTGAGAATGGCCAAAATAAATATAACTTATTGTCAGTTGAGAAGAAATCACCTTCTCGAGAAAATAGAAGTCACCGACACGTTTCTCGAAACATAAACATGCGGTCTCACCGCTACTTATCGTTACGATGTTGTTATCGATAGCGGAGATTTTCAAATTTAAAAATTTGCAACATAACGCATCAACAATATGTGAATGTAATTAATCGAAGCAGGCAGAATCGCAAGTCTCGAGATCGGAAGTTGCAGAAGAGAACGGAGAGATCCATGCCCTTTGGCTTCGTTTGTGGTGACGTAAGAGACGAACCGTAAAATTTACTGAATAACTTACGAAAGATAGATTTTTGTAAAGCGCTTCTTTTGCGTTTTGTGTCATACGCT